TTAGCCGGTTGAGCTATAGGCGCCGAGCCCCCATAAAGTTTTTAAGATCAAAGAAACCAAACTTGTTTTAGATAGAGCTGTTCTGCTGTAATATAGAGAAAAGGTATGAAAGAGAGATGGGAGGCTAGGAGGATGGTAAGAGGACAGACTCAGTGATTCCAGAGAAGGTGATGAGGCCTTAACTGAGGTAAAAGGCCATGCGGATGAAGGTGAAGGAATGATCTGACATATTCTGAATTTTAGAATTTAATTCTTTATCCATTTGGAAGGTAGGTAGTGAATCCCAAATATGTGCTAGGCTTGGAGGATATAGTAATGAAGGAAAAAGACCCTGCCCTCAGTACATTGACATTCTATTTGGAGGGAAAGACCCTAAGTGAGATGTATATATTTTCAGATGTTGATGAGTTATGGTATGGAGGAAATTAAAGAAAGGAAGCAAAATGGAGACTTTGGATGGGGGAGGATCTTTATTGTTCCTATTCCTTTTTTTAGACAGTCTCACTTTGTCACCTTCAGTAGACATCATTGCTCACAGCAACCCCCAACTCTTGGGCTCAAGCAATTCTCTTGGCTTAGCCTCCCAAGTAGCTGAGACTACAGGTGCCTGCCACAAGGCCTAGCTAATTTTAGAGACCGGGTCTCGTTCTTGCTCAGGCTGGTCTGGAACCTGTGAGGTTTTGGCAATCCACCAGCCTCGGCCTCCCAGAGTGCTAGGATTACAGGCATGAGAGCCACTGCACCGGGCCTGGATCTTTATTATTAAATGAGCAATTTAATTTAAATATTATTAACTATTAAGCCTGACTGATGTAAAATTTGAGCTTAGATATGAAGGTCAGGTAAGCACTCATTTGGGCATCTGGGAGTGAAACAGGAGATTACTAAATGCAAAGGCCCTGAAGGCAGAGCATGCTTGGTTTAGAACAGGAAGAGAGAAAGTGCTGCTGTGAATGGAACAGAATTAAGGAAGCAAAGAAGTGGCAGTGTGATGAATTAGAGAGGGAAAAGGAAGCTAGTGTAGGGCCATAGAGAGCCATTACAAAAGCCTAAGCTTTTACTCTGAGAAAAGATTATTTTATTTTTAATAATAGCTTTATTGAGACATAATTCACGTCCTATACAATTTACCCTTTTAAAATATAAGCTCAGTAATTTTTAGTGTATTTGGAATTGTGCAACCTCAATTTTAGAACATTTTCATTACCTCCCACCTTCCCTCCACAACATTCTGTTGTATAGATAAACCATATTTTCTTTATCCATTCATCAGTGATGGGTATTTGGGTTTCCACCTTATGAATAATGCTACTATGAACATTCACTTACAGGTTTTTGTTTGTATGTATGTTTTCATTTCTTGGGTATATACCTTGCAGTGAAATTGCTGGCTCATATAACTGTGTTTAATCTTTTTTTTTTTTTTTTTTGAGACAGTCTCACTTTGTTGCCCTTGGTAGAGTGCTGTGGCATCATAGCTCATGGCAACCTCAGACTCCTGGACTCAAGTGATTCTCTTGCCTCAGCCCCCCAAGTAGCTGAGACTACAGGCGCTTGCCACAACACCCAGCTATTTTTAGAGATGAGATCTTGCTCTGGGTGGGCTGGTCTTGAACTTGTGAGCTCAGGTGATCCACCCACCATGGCCTCCCAGAGTACTGTGTTTAATCTTTTAAGGATGTTTCCAAAGCGCCTGTACCATTTTACAATCCCATCAGCAGTGCATGAGGCTAACAATTTCTCCACAGTCTTGCCAACACTTATCGTTATCTTTTTATTATAGCTATCCTAGTGGGTTTGAAGTGTTATCTCTAGTATTCTGATGGTTAAAGATGTTTTGTATTTTTCCATTTGTTCATTTGTTAGTTGTCTATCTGTATGTCTTTTTTTGAGATATGTTTAGTCAGACCTGTTGCTCATTTTTTTTTTTTTTTTGAGACAGAGCCTCTCACACTGTCCCCCTGGGTAGAGTGCCATGGCATCACAGCTCACAGCAACCTCCAACTCCTGGGCTCAAGCAAGTCTCCTGCCTCAGCCTCCCAAGTAGCTGGGACCACAGGCACCCACCACAACGCCCGGCTATTTTTGGTTGCAGCCATCACTGTTGTTTGGCAGGCCCTGGCTGGATTCAAATTTGCCACCTTAGGTGTATGTGGCTGGCGCCTTAGCCACTTGAGCCACAGGCGCCAAGCCTGTTGCCCATTTTTTAATTGGATTATTTGATTTTTTATTATTGAGTTGTAAGATTCAGTTAGAGGTCTTTATAGGACAGTAATGAAATCTATCAGAGACAGCTAAACAAAAAGGAAAAGTATTATAAGCATTACAGATAAGGTAATGCCCAACAGTGACAATAAGTGGCAGAGCTAGGATTCAAATTAAGCCTCTGGGCTGTGCTTAAGTATGAAGGCTCCCTGAACTCCTCTAGCTTGGTCTCTTGCCCCCAATTCTCCTAAATCACTAAATCTCCGCGCAAACTCTATAGTCAGCCCTACGCTCCTTGATGAACTTCACTAAGATGCCAGCAGATGGCGATAGGGTCCCGGGCCGGCCGCTCTGTCTGGCTCGCTTATCTCTGTGGTGTTAGGCCTCAGAGGCGGCTGCCGCCACACTTCCGGGTACCGTTCCAGGTGAGCTAGGGTCTCCCGAGAATTACCTCTACGCTCCCCTCATCCCGAAATAAGGGCACCCGCTCTCCTAGCTCCCAGCAAGGGTGCCCAGTACTGGGGCTAGGGTTCCCAGGCGGAGGTTGGGTAGGCATTGGAGGCGGCAAAGACACTCGGACGCCCGTCTCAGCGAGGCACACACTACTCTCCAACTGAGCCCCTACCCCTCTGCGCTTGTGAGGTCGTGCCTCAGGTCTCCTGGCGAACCTAACTGCCCGGAAGCCGGGCGTGACTCCTCCCCTTGTCCCCTTGGTCCCCACCAGGCGGCGCCGTTGGTGGGGTCAGGATTCCCCTGTGGCTTTGAGCCCCTGTCACCTGGTGGTGGTGAGATTGGTGAGGGGAGTTGTGTAGAAACGGCCAGAGAGCAGTCTACCACTTAGAATAAGTTTTCCTTGCGACTTGTCATTTTTCAGTGTTAGGATTCCCTAGTGTACATATGCACGTTCCTGTGCTCCATCTCCAAAGATCTTGATCTGGGAGGGGGTGCGACATGGAAATAGCTTCTTATTTTTTATTCTTTATTTGTTGTTGTTGTTTGTTGTTGTTGTTGCAGTTTGGCCAGGGTCAGATTCGAACCCGCCACCCTCGGTATATGGGGCCAGCGCCCTACTCACTGAGCCACAGGCGCCACCCGGAAATACCTTTTTAAACATCAGCCCCCAGGTTGATTGGTCTCGGACTTGACCCTCAGAAACATTGCGATGGATTGGCTTTGAGTCTCTTTAACTTGAAGAAGGCTTCTAAGAGGAAGATTCTAGCTGGGTTTTGTAGTCAGGGATCAGACTATCCTCTGTGTTTTTGCACCCACGGTGATGAATTCCCTCCCCTTGTTCCTACCAGGATGCAGAAGATCTCAGTGCTGCTCTTCCTGACCTGGGTCTGCTTCCTCTTCTATGCTGGCATTGCCCTCTTCACCAGTGGCTTCCTGCTCACTCGTTTGGAGCTCACCAACCATAGCACCTGCCAAGAGCCCCCAGGCCCTGGGTCCCCGCCATGGGGGAGCCAAGAGGAACCCAGGGCCTGCTGGATGGCTTCCCGATTCTCCCGAGTTGTGTTGGTACTAATAGATGCTTTGCGATTTGACTTTGCCCAGCCCCAGCGCTCACATGTGCCCGGAGAGCCTCTTGTCTCCTTGCCCTTCCTGGGCAAACTAGGCACTTTACAGAGAATCCTGGAGACTCAGCCCCACCATGCCCGGCTTTACCGATCTCAGGTTGACCCCCCTACTACTACCATGCAGCGCCTCAAGGCCCTCACCACTGGCTCACTGCCTACTTTTATTGATGCTGGTAGTAACTTTGCCAGCCATGCCATAATGGAAGACAATCTCATTAAGCAGCTCACCAGTGCAGGTCAGTTTGGGCCCCTTTCAAGGCCAGAAGTACCTTGGCATATTTCTTCTTTAGAAATCAGAGAGTTAGAACTTTGGTTGCCTAGCTGCATTCTTGACTGTGGTGTCAGGGGGACAAAAGGAAGAGAAGAGATGAGGACCTTGCAAATTGGGACCTTAGTTTGGGGAACAAAAGAAAGGGGATCCAGGCTTTGTTCTTGTGAACCTTCTAGTCTGGGTGGAATGTTGGCTTTACTCTTGGAGAGGTCTCAGTAAAGAGGCAGGGGAGAGAAGAGGAGGAGAAGATAGGTCTCAGTTTGTAAGCATGGAGTAGAAAGCAGAAGGATCCCAGACCCTGTTCACTCACTGATTAGGAAAAAGCAAGGTAGCCAGAGACTGAGAATTGGCAGAGCATTTTGTAGGAAGCAGAAGTGAGAGGTCTGGATAGAATATGGTTATCAGAGAAGTCTTCCTAGTGGTAAATGTCAGGCCCTAAAGGATAAGGAGTTTCTGAATGGAATGCATGGTGGGATTTCTGATGGTTTTTAAAGGGCCTTCTCTCCTTTTTTTCCCTGTCCTGACTCCTGCTTAGGCTCTGACTCCTCATGTCCCTGCAGGAAAGCGTGTAGTCTTCATGGGAGATGATACCTGGAAAGACCTTTTCCCTGGAGCTTTCTCCCAAGCTTTCTTCTTCCCATCCTTCAATGTCAGAGACCTACACACAGTGGACAATGGCATCCTGGAACACCTCTACCCCACCAGTGAGCATGGGAGCAGAGCATAAAGTCCCTAAGACTGGGAGCTGGGGAGGGCTGCTTTAGTCCACAAATTCTGAGCCTCCCATGGGTGCTTGTATCCCTGGACATGGAGGAATGTCAAAGGCTGGCTGGGGTTGAGGAGTGGGCCTTAGTTCCCTGTGCTCAGTGTTCTCCCCTTCCTAGTGGACGGTGGTGAATGGGATGTGCTGATTGCTCACTTCCTGGGTGTGGATCATTGTGGCCATAAGCATGGTCCTCACCACCCTGAAATGGCCAAGAAACTTAGCCAGATGGACCAAGTGATCCAGTGAGTATGGGATATTGGCTGGGGGACTGGGTTGTGTCTGAGACTCTCAGGATATATGGGCTCAAGAGAAGAAGTCTTTATCTTGAACCTTCTTTCCTGGCTGAATTCTGTCTTCTCTTGGCCTTTTCTGGAGTGTGGGGCCTTATCCATCTAGAATAACTCAGGGTGTGGCTTTGGGCATTGGGCATTGGGGTCATGGCCAAGGAGGTGTCTCTTTGTTAAAGGTTTAGGCCCTACTAATGGAAGTCCTAGTTGGGGGTGAATGGGCCCCTGAGAAAAATTGACACATTTCTTGGCCCCCAGGGGACTGGTGGATCGTGTGGAGAATGACACATTGCTGGTGGTGGCTGGGGACCACGGGATGACCATGAATGGGGACCATGGAGGGGACAGTGAGCTGGAGGTCTCAGCTGCACTCTTTCTGTACAGCCCCACAGCCCTCTTCCCCAGTGCCCCACCAGAGGTGAGGCCCGGGATGTGCCTCATCTGCTCTCCCAGAATTCAGCCCATGTCAAGATCATATCATCCTCATGGATCCTGCTAGTTTAGGCCCCCAAATCCACAACCATGGGTATCCTTCACTCTGATTTCTTACCTAGGTCCCTACATCTTCCATCCTAAACACTGACTTCAGTTTTGTGATAAACTCACTGATGCCTGTCCTTTCCCTCTAGGAGCCAGAGGTGATTCCACAAGTCAGTCTTGTGCCCACACTGGCCCTGTTGCTGGGTCTACCCATCCCATTTGGGAACATTGGGGAGGTAATGGCTGAGCTATTCTCTGGGGGTGAGAACTCCCAGCCCCACTCCTCTGCTCTAGCCCAAGCCACAGCTCTCCATCTCAATGCCCAGCAGGTAGGTAAGGGGACTGGGTTTCCTAATGACAGAGCTAGGGTGGGCATCAGAGAAACATAAAGACCCTTTCCATTGTCCTTTGTTAGTCTTTCTTTTTTTGTTTTGAGACAGTGTTTCATTATGTCGCCCTCAGTAGAGTGCTATGGCGTCACGGCTCTCGGCAACCTTAAACTCTTGGCCTTAAGTGATTCTCTTGCCTCAGCCTCCCAAGTAGCTGGGACTAAAGGCACCCGCCATAACGCCCTACTATTTTTTTGTTGTAGTTGTCATTGTTGTTTAGCAGGCCCTGTGTGGGGCCCATCGGCTTGGGGGTATGTGGGTGGTGCTGTAACCACTGTGTTACAGGCACCAAGCCTCCTTCATTAGTCTTAATCCCTCCTTCCATAGCTCTGTTTCCCTTTCATTATCCCTTCTTCCCTCCCTCCCTTCTGGACAGAGTTTGGGTCACTGATTTCCGGCTACCCCTTTTTGTAATACCTATCCTTGGCTCTGATCCAATTTATATCTCTGACCTGTTTCCCTTGTCCTCTGATCTTTTCTCTGCCAGGTGTCCCGATTTCTTCACACCTATTCAGCTGCTGCTCAGGACCTTAAAGATAAGGAACTTCATCAGCTTCAGAACCTTTTCTCCAAGGCATCTGCTGACTACCAGTGGCTTCTGCAAAGCCCCCAGCAGGCTGAGGCAACACAGCAGACTGTGATCGCTGAGCTACAGCAGTTTCTGAGGGGAGCTCGGACCATGTGCATTGAGTCTTGGGCTCGTTTCTCTTTGGTCCGCATGGTGGGGGGTGCTGCTATCTTGGCTGCTGCCTGCTTTCTCTGTTTGCTGGCATCCCAGTGGGCAACATCCCCAGGCTTCCCCTTCTGCCCTCTACTTCTGATACCTGTGGCTGGGGGCCTGGGTGGGGCTGTAGTATATGTTGGACTTGTGGCAACTATAGGACTGAGGCTGGATCTAGTGCTTCTAGGGGCTGTGGCTGCAATGTGCTCACTCCTGACTTTTCTGTGGAAAGCCAGGGCTGCCTGGGGGTCCAGGAAGCCCCTGGCAACCCTGCTTCCCCTCCCTGGGTCTGTCCGGTTATTCTTGCTTATTCGCTTGGCAGCATTCTTCTCTGATAGTTTTGTTGTAGCTGATGCCAGGGCCACCCCCTTCCTTTTGGATTCATTCATCTTGCTTCTAGTTGCCCAGCTTCACTGGGAAGGCCAGCTTCTGTCACCTAAGCTGCTCACAGTACCTCGCCTTGGCTCTTCATCCTCAACAGGCCTCCCACGGTACAGTGGTGCTTATGCTCTGAGGCTTGGAGTTGGGTTGCTTTTATGTACAAGGCTGGCTGGGCTTTTCCATCGCTGCCCAGAAGAGACACCTGCTTGCCACTCTTCTCCCTGGCTGAGTCCTCTGGCATCCATGGTGGATGGTCGAGCCAAGAATTTATGGTATGGAGCTTGCGTGGTAGCATTGTTAGCCCTGTTAGCTGCTGTACGTCTATGGCTTCACCGCTATGGTAATCTCAAGAGCCCTGAGCCTCCCATGCTCTTTGTGCGCTGGGGACTGCCCCTAATGGCACTGGGCACTGCTGCCTACTGGGCATTGGCTTCAGGGGCAGATGAAATACCCCCACGTCTCCGGGCCCTCGTTGCTGGGGCATCAGTTGTACTGCCTAGGGCTGTGGCAGGACTGGCTGTTTCAGGGCTCATGCTATTGCTCTGGAAGCCTGTGACTGTGCTGGTGAAGGCTGGGACAGGTGCTCCAAGGACCAGGACTGTCCTCACTCCCTTCTCAGGCCCTCCAACTACTCAAGCTGACCTGGATTATGTGGTTCCTCAAATCTACCGACACATGCAAGAGGAGTTCCGGGGCCGGCTAGAGAGGACCAAATCTCAGGGTCCCCTGACTGTGGCTGCTTATCAGCTGGGGAGCGTCTACTCAGCTGCTATGGTCACAGCCCTCACCCTGTTGGCCTTCCCACTTCTGCTACTGCATGCAGAGCGCATTAGCCTTGTGTTCCTGCTTCTGTTTCTGCAGAGCTTCCTTCTCCTGCATCTGCTTGCTGCTGGGATACCCATCACCACCCTTGGTAAATATAAATCTCAGCCCTGATTAATCTAAGGACAGTAGTGATGTGAGTTAAGCCCCTTTTTTTCTCAGGGGGGGTGCTGCTCCTCATGTTGCTCACCTTGACACAGGGTCTCCTACTACACACAGTTGGGAAGGTTTTCTTGGTGTCCTCTCTTCCCTGCTATAGCAAAGCTAACTGATCCCTCCTATTGACTCTCATTAAGAGGGGAGTCAAGTTCTCCAAGATTCTTTGTGGTAATGCTGCATTTTCATGAGCATATCTCCTGATTTTCCAGTGATGGAAGTGGTGAACCATGAGTATATAACATAGCGGCATATTGAATTATATGTATTTGAGATAGAGATTGACCCACACTGCAGTTCAGATCAGGGTTATAGGGCTTTGTGCCACAGAGGGAATCAGAACAACAGTGTTGAATGAGGAGGTTAGGGTGATGGACAGATGAGTGTGTGAGAATTGGCCCTGAAGTAGTAGGAGTATATGATCATGGGCAGTAGGCTATGGATTGGGGAGTGAGATGTAATTGTGAAGAGGCATATCTTTTCCTTCAGGTCCTTTTACTGTGCCATGGCAGGCAGTCTCAGCTTGGGCCCTCATGGCTACACAGACCTTCTACTCTACAGGCCACCAGCCTGTCTTTCCAGCCATCCATTGGCATGCAGCCTTTGTGGGATTCCCAGATGGTCATGGCTCCTCTACCTGGCTGCCTGCTCTGCTAGTGGGAGCCAACACTTTTGCCTCACACCTCCTCTTTGCAGGTAACCCCACATCCCTTTCTTGCTGCCATTGTTTGCTATGGCTTTGTGCAAAGAAAGGAAACCCCTGTGTTTGAGTGGAGAGATGTGGTTTTGTTGGGTCATTGATACTTCTTGGCTTAGGCTAATTGGAACCTGAGTCAACTGGGGCGGTTGGGGAGCAGTGTGGACTAGTACCAGGGTCCTCCACTGATTTCAGCCCTGTCCTGCCCTGAGGCAGTAGGTTGCCCACTTCTCTTGCTCTGGCCCTTCCTGTGTGAGAGTCAAGGGCTACAGAAGAGGCAGCAGCCCCCAGGGAATGAAGCTGAGGCCAGAATCAGGCCTGAGGAACAGGAGCAGCCACTGATGGAGATGCGGCTCCGGGATGCACCTCACCACTTCAACGCCGCACTGTTGCAACTAGGCCTCAAATACCTCTTTGTTCTTGGTGTTCAGGTGGGTGTTAGGGAGAAATCAGGGAGTTAATGACCTTTTCTCCCATGTGTGCATTGGATTCTTTCATGCTTTCAAAAACCCTTGACTGAGGTACACAGAAGTGAAGTGGTTGCCTATCCCAGTGCCTTTTCTTGAGACTTGAACCTGTTGGCCCTGGTCCTGTATCATTTCCTGTCTACAGTCTAGATCTGTACCCTGCTATTTGCATTGGGGATTACTGCATCAAGGGACAGAATGGAAAAGCTGAGGTGATAGCCAGGATTTTTTCCCAAATTGCAGTCATAGATCCTCCTCCTCCTTTTCCACAAAGGCAAATATGGTGCTGACATCTTCTACTCTAGGAAGCAGAGCCTGAGTAATAGTAGCATAGATAGATAGTGACTTGCCCAAAGTCATATAGTGACTGAGCAAGGACAAAAATTGGGTCTCCTAAAACCTAGCCAGGGATTTTTCTTTCTTTTTTTTTTTTTTTGAGACAAAGTCTCAATATTTTGCCTTCGGTAGAGTGCTGTGGCGTCACAGCTCATTGCAACTTCAAACTCTTGGGCTCAAGTGATTCTCTTGCCTCAGCCTCCCAAGTAGCTGGGATTACAAGCACCTGCCACAACGCCTGGCTATTTTTTTATGTAGTTGTTATTGTTTGGCAGGCCCAGGCTGGATTCGAACCCACCAGCTCCTGTGTATATCGCTGGTGCCCTAGCCACTGGAGCTACAGGCGCCGAGCCAAGCCAGGGATTTTTCTACTGATACATGCTACTCTTCCATTTTTCACAGGAGCCTGTAGCAATCCTCCCTTTCCCCTGCTTTCTCCTCCTCTTGCAAGTAATTTGACCTCTTCTCTCCTTTAGATTCTGGCCTGCGCCTTGGCAGCTTCCATTCTCCGTAGGCATCTCATGGTCTGGAAGGTGTTTGCCCCCAAGTAAGTAGATTTGCTTGAGGAATAGAGATGGAGAGGGAGAAGCCTGGGGCATGGTATGAACATCCTAAACATCTAGAATGGCTAAGATTTGCCTCTGTAGGGAAAAGGTAGTAGGACTACTTTCTGTTTCCTGAGATTCTCTACTTTTCTTTGTAGGTTCATTTTTGAGGCTTTGGGCTTCATTGTAAGCAGCGTGGGACTTCTCCAGGGTATAACTTTGGTGATGCGAGTGGATGGTGCTGTGAGCTCCTGGTTCAAGCAGCTAGTTCTGGCCCAGCAAAGGTAGCCTAGTGTATGGCTGCTGGCATCTGGCTACTGAGAGAGCTAGAGAACAATTTAGCCTGGCCGGTACAGGTGCTGGATGATCTGCAAGAGAGGCTCAGCTATACCTCTCACTACTATGCAGCCAGAGGCTGCGGACTTGTAGGACTTCATTATATTATAATTCAGAATCACAGTGGTGCCTATCCCTGACTCCTAATTTGGTGGCATCTGAGGGACTAAGGGGATTTCCCCAAATGGAATAAAATAATACCGTAAATATGTGTGTCTGAGATGTGGGTGATCCCCCACCATCCTATAGGGATTGAGAGAAGGGTCATTCTCCCCTCCCTTGTGCCAGGCACGGAAGGAATTAGTCATCTTAGGCAAATGTGGCTGTACCTCAGAACCTTTAGGAAATAGAGTTGTCTGAGTTCACTACTCTTACTTCTTCCCAAATCACCCCTATTATCCCACCTGCCATTTTTCTTTGCCATGGAACACATTTTGTTAAGTTCATATGCTTTGGCTGATAAAAGACTTAAAAAGACAAGCCCAGGCATCATGGAACACAGACTTTCACTGTCTGAAGCCCTAGGTAGTACTGTATCCTCTCTTCCACTATGTCATTTCACTATACAACACCCTTTGCCCTTCACTTTTTTTTTTTTTTTTTACTTTGTAAAATTCTAGCCACTTTCTTTGCCCTTCACTTCTGTGAGCGGCTTCCTAGTTTCCCAATCTGGGCTGCCTTATATCAGACATACATAAACATCTTCCATAGTATTACTCTTGCACCCAATGATTACTTCTGACTTGAAGCCAAAACTGTATGGGTCTAATGCTTTTCTTATGTATGTCTCCTGTTTTCTTGGTTTATCCCACCACTCTTGCATCACATCTGAAGCTCTGCTATGGGATCCTCCTGCAGATATTCATTAAAAAACTTGGGAAGAGGCCCTAGAGAGGAGTTTCAAGACTGGGATTTGAAGTTTGAGCAGGAGAGGAGGCACTGGGGCTACTGAAAGATGGGACAGATGTTAACACTATTGGATAGCACCTATTTTTTTTTTTTTTTTATTGTTGGGAATTCATTGAGGGTACAAAGAACCAGGTTACATTGATTCCATTTGTTAGGTAAAGTCCCTCTTATAATTGTGTCCCTCCCACAAAAGGTGTGTCACACACTGTGACCCCCAACCCCCCTCTCCTTCCTTCTCTCTGTTTTCCCCTTCCCCCAGTGTACTAGATCATTAATTCTCTTCATATCAGAATTGAGTGCCTAGGATGTACTTGCTTCTCCATTCTTGTGAAGCCTTACTAAGAATAATGTGTTCCATTTCCATCCAGGTTAATACAAAAATGTAAAGTCTCCATCCTTTTTAATGGCTAAATAGTATTCCATTGTATACATATACCACCACATCTTGTTAATCCATTCCTGGGTTGGTAGGCATTTAGGCTGTTTTCACATTTTGGCAATTCTAAATTGAGCTGCTATAAACAGTGTAGTGCAGTGGTTCTCAACCTGTGGGTCATGACCCCTTTGGGTTGAACGACCATTTCACAGGGGCCATCTAAGACCATCCTGCATATCCGATATTTACATGATGATTCATAACAGTAGCAAAATTACAGTTATGAAGTAATGAAAATAATTTTATGGTTGGGGTTACCACAACATGAGGAACTATATTAAAGGATTGTGGCATTAGGAAGGTTGAGAACCACTGGTCTGGTGCAAGTGTCCTTATGGTAAAAGGATTTTTTTTTGTTCTGGATAGATGCCCAATAATGGGTTTGCAGGATCAAATGGAAGGTCTAGTTTGAGTTTTTTGAGGATTCTCCATATTTCCTTCCTAAAAGGTTGTGTTAGTTTGCAGTTCACCAGCACTGTAAAAGTGTTCCCTCTCCACACCCACGTCAGCATCTGTAGTTTTGAGATTTTGTGATGTGGGCCATTCTCACTGGAGTTAGATGATATCTCAGGGTGGTTTTGATTTGCACTTCTCTAATAATTAGGGACGATGAGCATTTTTTCATAAGTTTGTTAGCCATTCGCCTGTCTTTTGTTGTTGAGACAGAGTCCCACCCTATGCCCTGAGCAGAGTGCAGTGGCGTGGTAGCTCACTGCAACCTCAGACTCTGGCTTGAGGGCATCCCGCTGCCTCAGCCTCCAGAAGCTGGGATTATAGGTGCTCACCTCAGTGCCCGGCTAGGTTTTTCCATGTTTTTCATGAGTTGGGGGTCTCATTCTCGCACAGGCAAGTCTCAAACTCCTGAGCTCAAGCAATTCTCCCTCCTCAGCCTGTCATAGTGTTGAGATTACAGGCATGACCCACGGCGCCCGGCTCGCCTGTCTTCTTTAGAGAAGTTTCTATTCATCTTTTTTGCCTATTGATATAAGGGATTGTTGGCTCTTTTTATGTTCATTGATTGGAGTTCTCTGTAGATCCTAGTTGTCATTCTTTTGTACGATTGAAAAGATGCAACTATCTTTTCTATTGTGTAGGTTATATATTTGCTTTGGTTGTTGTCTCCTTAGGTGTACAGAAGCTTTTCAGTTTTTAATTGGTCTCATTTGTTTATTTTTGTTGTTGTTTTGTTGTTTTGCAATTGCCACGGAAGTCGTCTTCATAAAGTCTTTGCCCAGGTTGATATCTTCAAGTGTTTTTTCCCATGCTATCTTTGAGGATTTTTATCATTTCATGCCTTGTCTTTTATCCATTGTAAATCAATTTTAGTCAGTGGAGAAAGGTGTGGGTCCAGTTTCAGTCTTTTACATGTGTTTATCCAGTTCTCCCAGCACCATTTACTGAATAGGGATTCTTTCCCCTAGTGTATGTTCTTCTTTGGTTTATCAAAGATTAGGAGGCTGTACAATTTTAGTTTCATCTCCTGGTTTTCTTTTCTTTTTCTTTCTTTCTTTTTTTTTTTTTTTTTTTTTTTAGAGACAGGGTCTCACTCTATTGACTTAGGTAGTGTGCCCTGGCGTCACACAGCTCACAGCAACCTCCAACTCCTGGGCTTAGGCAATTCTCTTGCTTCAGCTTCCTGAGTAGCTGGGACTGCAGGCGCCTGCCAAAATGCCTGTCGGCTATTTTTTGGTTGCAGTTTGGCCAGGGCCGGGTTTGAACCCACCACCCTCGGTATATGGAGCTGGCTCCCTAACCACTGAGCCACAGATGCTGCCCCATCTCCTGGTTTTCTATTCAGTTCCATATGTCTGTGTCTCTCTTTTTGTGCCAATACCATGCTGTTTTGATCACTATGGCCTTGTAGTACAGCCTGAAGTCTGGTAGGCTGATGCTCCCTGCTTTGTTTTTATTACTAAGAATTGCCTTAGGTATATGAGGTTTTTTTCTGGTTCCATACAAAATGAAGAATTATTTTTTCCAAGTCTTTATTTATTTATTTATTTATTTTTATTAAGACAGAATCCCACTTTGTTGCCCTCTGTAGAGTGCTATGGCATCATAGCTCACAGCAACTTCAAACTCTTGGGCTCAAGCAAGTCTCTTGCCTCAGCTTCCGTAGTAGCTGGGACTACAGGTGCCCTTCACAACCCCTGGCTATTTTTTGTTGTTGTTGTTGTTTGTTTGTTTAGCAGGCCTGAGCTGGGTTCTAACCCACCAGCCCTGGTGCATGTAGCCAGTGCCCAGCCTATTTTTTCCAAGTCTTTAAAAGTATGATGTTGGTATTTTAATAGGGATGGCATTGAATCTGTAGATTGCTTTGAGAAGTATAGACATTTCTGTGGTGTACGTGACTAGCTCCCTATAAAAAGTGGTCGAGAATAAAGATGATTTGCTACATGCCCACCCCTCCCCAAAAAGAAGTATAGGCATTTTAACAATGTTGATTCTTCCCAGCCATGAGCATGGTATATTCTTCCATTTGTTAATATCTTCTGCTATTTCTTTTCTTAGGATTTCTCAATTTTCTTTATAGAGGTCCTTTACCCCTTTTGTTAGGTATATTCCTAGGTATTTCATTTTTTTTTTTTTTTTTTGAGACGGAGCCTCAAGCTATCCCCCTGGGTAGAGTGCCATGGCTTCACAGCTCAGAGCAACCTCCAACTCCTGGGCTCAAGCAAGTCTCCCGCCTCTGCCTCCCAAGTAGCTGGGACCACAGGCGCCCGCCACAACGCCTGGCCATTTTTTGGTTGCAGCCATCATTGTTGTTTGGCGGGCCCGGGCTGGGGATTCGAACCTGCCACCTTAGGTGTACGTGGCTGGTGCCTTAGCCGCTTGAGCCACAGGCACCAAGCCTAGGTATTTCATTTTCTTTGAAGCTACTGTGAAGGGGATTATATCCTTAATTAGTGTCTCATCTTGGCTGTTATTGGCGTATATAAAGGCTACTGACTTGTGGACATTGATTTTATATCCTGAGACATTAGTGTATTTTTGGATCACTTCCAGGAGTCTTGGGTTGAGTCTTAGGGGTTCTCTAAATATAAGATCTTATCATCAGCAAAGAAGGAGAGTTTGACCTCCTCTGCTCCCATTTGGATGCCCTTTATTTCCTTGTCTTGCCTAATGGTATTGACTAGAACTTCCAGCACTGTGTTGAATAATAGTGGCGATAGAGGACAACCTCGTCTGGTTCCAGTTCTGAATGGAAACACTTTCAGTTTTACTCCATTCGGTAAAATATTAACTATGGACAATAGAACCCATTTTTAATTGGCAGGAAAAATGGGAGCTGAGTAGCAGTGGTTCTGAAGTTAAAGCATTTACTGTTGTGGTAGGTAGCTAAAAGAATAGTTCAAATTATTAATAGCCAATGGTGCCTAGTGTTACAGAGGTCTAATTAGAAAGTATGTACTATGTCAGGCAATTCCAGAATAGGTCATTAGCTCTGGTGGAAAGAGGTTTAATACTGCAAGGGAGAGAAGTTAGGCTCCAGCTTGACTGTAAGATGAATTAGAAAAAAGCCCCTCTCCTAGTTTGGTGGACACAACTCCCAAGCATAGTTTGATGGGAAAACAGTGCCTTCATGTGGAAGAAAAAAGGGAAGGGGAAGGGACTCTTGGGCGGCGCCTGTGGCTCAGTGAGTAGGGCGCTGGCCCCATATACCGAGGGTGGCAGGTTTAAACCCAGCCCCAGCCGAACTGCAACTAAAAAATAGCCGGGCATTGTGGCGAGTGCCTGTGGTCCCAGCTACTCAGGAGGCTGAGGCAAGAGAATCGCCTAGGCCCAGGAGGTAGAGGTTGCTGTGAGCTGTGTGATGCCACAGCACTCTACTGAGGGTGATAAAGTGAGACTCTGTCTCTACAAAAAAAAAAAAAAGGAATTCTCTTTCCATTCCTAGTACTCAGGAAAGGATTTTACTTTATTTTTTTTAGTTATTATTATTATTTTTTGAGACAGAGTTTCAAGCTGTTGCCCTGAGTAGAGTGCTCTGACGTCACAGCTCACAGCAACCTCAAACTCTTGGGCTTAAGCAATTCTTTTGCCTTAGCCTCCCAAGTAGCTGGGACTACAGGTACCCACGACAATGCCCGGCTATTTTTTGGTTGTAGTTGTCATTGTTTGGCAGGCCCAGGTTGGATTTGAACCCACCAGCTCCGGTATATGTGGCTGGCTTCCTAGCCACTGAGCTTCAGGTGCTGAGTCAGGAAAGGATTTTAGACTCTAGCCTCTCCTCCTCTCATTTAAGTGCTGCTACCTACTTTTTGCAGGGGCCACCTTACCTAGAGCCTAGGGATAATCTGATCTGCCAAACACTGCCTATTTCCCTTTCTCCTGATGTATCTAAATGATCCTTTTGGAGAAAGGTGCTAGCATGTTGATTTATGTTAAAAATTCTTTCTAGCAGCGCCTATGGCTCAAGTGGCTAAGGCTCCAGCCACATACACCTAAGGTGGCGGGTTCAAATCCAGCCTGGGCCTGCCAAACAATGATGGCTGCAACCAAAAAAATAGCCGGGCATTGTGGCAGGTGCCTATGGTCCCAGAACTTGGGAGGTGGAGGCAGGAGACTTGCTTGAGCCCAGGAGTTGGAAGTTGCTGTGAGCTGTGATGCCACAGCACTCTACCCAGGGGGACAGCTTGAGGCTCTGTCTCAAAAAAGAAAAAAAAAAAAAGTTCTTTCTAGCAGGGTACCATGGCCTGTGTGTGCCTCTAGTCCCAGCTATTCCAGAGGCTGAAGTTCAGGAGTTGGAGGCTGCAGTGCACTATAATTTTCACCTGTGAATATCCACTGTACTTCAGCCTAAGCAATAGACCAAGACCTACCTCTGTTTAAAAAAAAAAAATTCTGAGCAGTTCCTGTGGCTCGGTGAGTAGGGCGTTGGCCCCATATACCGAGCCCCAGCCAAACTGCAACAAAAAAATAGCTGGGTGTTGTGCCAGGCCCCTGTAGTCCCAGCTGCTCGAGAGGCTGAGACAGGAGATTGGCCTAAGCCAATTGAGGAGGTTGCTGTGTTGCCATGGCACTCTACTGAGGGTGAGAAAGTAAGACTGTTTCTAAAAAAAAAAAAACTTTTTCCTGTCTTTTACATCAGAGTCCATTCCACATTAATTCACTGTTTTTTTTCCCTAATGAGCATTTGAAATACAATTTACCATAAAGTTCATTGATTTAAAGTGTACAACTTAATAGTTTCTGTACAGTTAGAGTTGTACCACCACAACCATCACCACAGTCAATTTTAGAACATTTTCAACAACCCGGAAGAAACTACTCTTTAGATACAACCTTCCAACCCTTCTGAGTCCCTGGCTACTACTAATCTGCTTTTTCTGTAGCCTATTCTGGACCTTTCATAGAAATGAAATCATATAATTAGTCTTCTATAACTGGCATTTTTCACTCAATGTCTTCACGGTTTATCCATATAGCAGCATATATTTATACTTGATTCATTTTCTTTTTTAAATTTGAGATAAAATTGATCACAGAGGAACTCTACAGAAATAAAGGGAAAAAGGAAAAACAAGAAAAAATTGAGATACAATTCATATAAAATTGAACATTTTAAAGTATTTTTTTTTCTTTCAGAAACAGGATCTTGCTATGTCACCCAGGCTGGAGTGCAGTGGCCACCCCATCAAAGTTGACTGTAACCTCAAAATCCTGGGCTCAAGGAATCCTGCCTCAGCCTGTCTAGTAGCTGGGACTATAGGCATGTGCCACTATTTTTTTTTGGTTTTGGTGGGATTTTTTTGGAGTTATTGGCCTGGGCTGGGTTTGAACCCACCACCTCTGGTATATGGGGCTGGCGCCCTACTCCTTGAGCCACAGGTGCCGCCCCACTATTTTTTTTTTGTAGAGACAGGATCTTGTTATTTTGCCCAGGCTGGTGTTGAATTCCTGGTCTAAGAGATCCTCCTGCTTTAGCCTCCCAAAGTGGTGGGATTACAGGCATGATCCACTAGCCAGCCTGACTTTATTAATGATGTCTGTGTAATGTAGGCATTTTAATTTCTTTCTTTTTTTTTTTTTTTTTTTGAGACAGAGCCTCAAGCTGTCCCCCTGGGTAGAGTGCTGTGGCATTACAGCTCACAGCAACCTCCAACTCCTGGGCTCAAGCGAGTCTCCTGCCTCCGCCTCCCAAGTAGCTGGGACCACAGGCGCCCACCACAACGCCCGGCTATTTTTTGGTTGCAGCCGTCATTGTTGTTTGGCAGGTCCGGGCTAGGGATTTGAACCCGCCACCTTAGGTGTACGTGGCTGGCGCCTTAGCCGGTTGAGCTATAGGTGCCGAGCCGGCATTTTAATTTCAATGCAGTATAACTTTATTTTTTGCTTATGCTTTTAGTGTTGTGTCTAAAAACTTGTGGCCAATCCCAAGGCCATAAAGATGTTCGCTTAAGTTTTCTTCCAGATGCTTTATATTTGTGGCCTTTACAGGCAGTCCCTGAGTTACACGTTTCTCTGATGTATGACCTAAACTTATGAGCGAACGGAGACTTACAGGTAATAGGTAAATGTATCTGTTCTAACATACATACAAATTCAACTTAAGAACAAACCTACTGAACTTGTCTGGTTCATAACCTGGGGACTGCCTGTATAATTTGTGATCCCTTTTGAGCGGATTTCATATATGTGTGGTGTACGGTTGAGTTTGTTTCTTTTTCTTTTCTTTTTTTTTTTTTTTTGAGACAGGAGCCTCAAGCTGTCCCCCTGGGTAGAGTACCGTGGCATCTCAGCTCACAGCAACCTCCAACTTCCGGGCTCAAGCGAGTCTCCTGCCTCCGCCTCCCAAGTAGCTGAGACCACAGGCGCCCGCCACAACACCCGGCTATTTTTTGGTTTCAGCCATCATTGTTGTTTGGCGGGCCCCAGCTGGATTCAAACCCACCACCTTGGGTGTACATGGCTGGCGCCTTAGCCCCTTGAGCCACAGGCGCCGAGCCTTTTCCCTTTTTTTTTGAGAGAGAAGAGGCTCACTCTTTTGCTCTGTGTAGAGTGCTGTCCTGTCATCGTTTACAGCAACCTCAAACTCTTGGGCTTGCCTCAGCCTCTTTTTCTTTTTTTAATTTTTCTTTTATTTATTTTTTACTTTCAGCCTCTTTTTTTCTTTTTCTTTTGGTATACACAAATCCAATTCTCCTAGCTCCATTTGTTGAAGAGATTGGCCAGGTACCTCTGAGCAGTGCAGCGTCCACTTGCACAGAGCCACGCTGCCAGCAGTCAGACTGCACCCGGTTGGGTAGGCAGCGGCGAGCGCATTGGTTCTCAGGGTGAGCAGAAAAAAAAGACCGATCTTGTGTTTTGCATGCACGTTGCTCCGGGGCTGTGCTCAGTTCGCCCCCCTCCCCCGGCTCGGGGAACTACAACTCCCAGCATGCACCTCGCAGGGCGGGAAACCCAGAAGGCGAAAGGCAGAGCCAGACCCTGGTACCGATACTGGCTCCTGCCAACCCTTCTCAAAGCTTTGACCTCCGCTACCTGTGCGACAGCCGGACGCACACGCCTCTGTCTCTATCCCTTCTCAGTCTAGCCCTCTGGTCGATCTGGACTTATTTTTTCCCCAAGTTTCCCGCAGGAACTAACTCTTGAAGGAGACCAACCCCAGCCGAGAGTTTTGCAGGCCGGACTAACCCGAGGCGAGGTTGGGAGCAGGGGCCGGCAGCGTGGAGAGAGCGTCCAGTTTCTCCTGGAAAGAGTGGGCTGCCCAGCTGGGACCCAGAGGCGAACAGGGGATCCCGGCGGGGTGCGGAAGTGCACAAGCCCTCCCGACTAGAGTGGTACCTTCGGCAGGCCACCCTCACCCTATAGAAGCCCGTTTAGGTGAGCCTCAGCCACTATGTCCCACCAGCTTCCTCTGGGCTCCAGCTTCCTCGACCTGTGGAGGGAAAAGAACGACCAGCTCGTTCGACAGGCCAAGGTAACACGGTTGCTGGGACCCTGACTTTGTAACCCCACTAACCTGGAAAGGGGCTTTGTAGATTTGTTCCAGCCGATGGAGGTTAGGGGCTTAGCTCAACCAAAGAGGGAGAAACTCGCCACAACTATCCTCTCTGCTGCAAGAGGAGAGAAAAGAAGTGCTCCTCAATGACACCCTCTTCCACGTTTGGCAGGTGGCTCAGGGCTCTGGTCTGCCGCTGAGGCGACAGCAGTTGGCTCAAGGGCTGGAAGGGCTCAGGGAGCTCCTTCGTAGTCTGCAAGGTAAGCAGGGTCCTCCCCAGGATGGTCAGTTCCCCTCCTCCACAGATAGAGACAAGTTCCTCTTCTGCATTTCTGGGATTTAGGTGATTACTCAGAGGGCAGGGGCTCCTGTTTAAGGTACACAGTGGTCTGGGGTGGAATTGTCTTTGTTCAGGCACGTGTGCACACACAGTGGCATTTGAAGAAGTAGTTTCCAGATGGTCTGATCTGGAGAACTTAATGTTCTTTCCATAACTCTCTGTCCAAAGGGTAGTTTCTTCTCCTTTTTTTTTTTGAGACAGAGCCTCAAGCTATTCCCCTGGGTAGAGTGCGGTGATATCACAGCTCACAGCGACCTCCAACTCCTGGGCTCAAGCTAGTTGCCTGCCTCCGCCTTCCAAGTAGCTGGGACCACAAGTGCCCGACACAACGCCTGGCTATTGTTTGGTTGCAGCCATCATTGTTGCTTGGCCGGCCTGGGCTGGATTCAAATCCACCACCTTAGGTGTATGTGGCTGACGCCTTAGCCACTTGAGCCACAGGCGCTGAGCCAGGGTAGCTTCTTTTTTGAGGCCATTTTTGTTAGAGTGGGGTGATCTCTGGATTGGGATCTTATCTGGAGAACTGGCCATGGGGAAGCTATCTATAAGACCAGCATTTATTGCTCCAGGGCTTCCTGCAGCTGTTCCCATTCTCCCCATGGAGCTGACTGTCACCTGCAACTTCATTATCCTGAGGACAAGCCTAGCCCAGGGTTTTACTGAAGATCAGGCTCAATATATCCAACAGGGCCTAGAAAGAGGTGAGACCAGAGATTGCCTCCCATGTCCTTGCTAATCAGTCTAGGTTTAAGCCCTTGTAGGGGGGTGGGAGGAGCAACAAAATCTGTCACCTCCATGGAGAGATTACATTCCCTGATCCTCCATATGATCCTCAGACCAGGTTGAGGTATTATGTGACCTTTTGGCTCCTGCAGAGGAGGAAAGTCAGAGAGTATGGGGAGATGGAGGATGAGATCCCATCTCAGCTGTGTGTATATACCCTACAGTGCTGGAAACACAGGAACAGTTGGGGCCCAGGTTGGAATGGGGACTCAGGGAGCTGTGGGAGTCTGTGCTGCATGCTTCCTCCCTTCTGCCGGAGCTGCTTCCTGTCCTGCACCATCTTGCTAGCCTGCAGGCTGCCCTCTGGCTGAGCACTGACCACCTTAGGGACCTGGCCTTCCTGCTGCAGATCCTGAATGGTAGCCAGGTAATGGGAAAAATGACCTGGAGTTGAGGGTCCTCCTTCCTTTCTCAATCCCTCCTCTCTTCTCCCTAGCTGCAGTAACATCCTTATGTACTAGAAAGGCGGATTGGTGGTCAGAAAACTTGGATTTTCTTAGGGATTTGGGTGATATTCCCCTGGTTGGTCGGTCATTGGGGGAATTCTCTTGGTAGTGTTTTTAAAAGCAGCTTAATGATTTTGGATAAGGTTAAGGCTCTCATGACCTTGCTGAAGTCACCTCCCAACCTCAGTCATTTTTTTTTTGCAGTTTTTTGGCTGGGGTTGAGTTTGAATCCGCCACCTTTGGCACATGGGGCCAGCGCCCTACTCCTTTAAGCCACAGTGCTGCCTTTTTTTTTTTTTTTTTTTTTGAGACAGAGTCTTACTCTGTCACCCCAGGTAGAGTGCAGTGGCATCATCATAAGCTCACTGCAACCTCAAACTCCTAGGCTCAAGCTATCCTCCTGCCTTAGCCTCCTAAGTAGCTCAGCATCCCCACACCTGTTTAATTTTTTCTATTTTTGGTAGAGATGGTGTTTCGCTCTTGCTCAGGTTGGTTTCAAACTCCTGACCTTAAGCCATCCACCCACCTTGGCCTCCCAAAATACTAGGATTATAGATGTGAGCCACCACATGCGGCCCCCGCCTTAGTCTTATTAGTAACTCAAACATGGTCTTTGCTCCATGTCCTCATGCTCTTGTCCTGAGTGAGAAGGCACACTAGAATATATCAACACTGTCCCATATTTTTCTTACTCTCTTTATCCTTGCCCCACAGCTATCCATTTCTTAGAACTGGGGGATCCCTTGAGCTCAAGGTCTAGCCAGGATAAACTGACATAGGAGAAGAGGAGATGGTTACAGGCTTGGAGCCACTGATTATCCTTTTCTCCCCAGAGTGGAACCTCTGAAGATCTGCTGTTGCTTCTGAAAACTTGGAGCCCCCCTGCTAAGGAATCAGATACTCCATTGACCCTGCAGGATGCCCAGGAATTGAGGGACATCCTTCTGACAGCATTTACTTACCGCCAAGGTCAGCTAGCAACCTTGACTCATTCCTTCCCCCCTTAAGAAATCCTCTGGACTCATACCTTCTCTGTCATGTCCCATTCAGCTCTGTGGAGCTTCTCTAGGCTCTTGTTCTACATCATGACCTCTTCCCTATGGGTGTCTCTAAGATTATACCCTGATTGCCTGATCCTCAGGTCTCCAGGAATTGATCACAGGGAATCTGCCCAAGGCACTAAGCAGCCTACATGAAGCGGCCTCAGGTCTGTGTCCACGGCCTGTGTTGGTTCAGGTGTACACGGCACTGGGGACTTGTCTCCGTAAGATGGTAAAAACAGTCCTCTGGTCAGTTGGTGGAACTACATTGATGACCTTTAGCTTTGGTAAGGGTAGCTGAGCCTTGTGTCCTCCCACCCCTCTAGGGATATCCACAAAGAGCACTGCTGTACTTGATTGAAGCCCTGAAATGTGGATCAGCCTTAGGTCCCCCACTTCTGGAGGCCTCTAGGATATATCAGGAACTGGGAAACACAGCAGCAGAGCTGGAGAGTCTGGAGCTGCTGGTTGAGGTAAGGAACTGCAAGGTAAATATATAAGGTGGAGGATTGCTGAGGTGCCTGTGTTGGGATGACTTGACTAGTCAAGATGCAAGTATAAAGAAATGTGGTTTCCACAGATTGTATGCTTTCTTCTTTCTTTTTTTTTGAGATGGAGCCTCAAGCTATCCCCCTGGGTAGAGTGCCATGGCATCATGCTCACAGCAACCTCCAACTCCTGGGCTTAAGCGAGTCTCTTGCCTCAGCCTCCCAAGTAGCT